CGGGGCTTTGGCGCCCCCTGCCGGCCGCGGGGGCGCGCAGCGGGGGGCGAGCGCGGGACCGGGGGGCGTTGGGATGGACCGAGCGCGGGATCGGGGGAGCAGATTGGAATGGACCGACCGCGGTACCGGTGGGGCGACTTGGGATGGAACGAGCACAGTACCAGGGGGGCAGGTTGGGATGAACAGATGGTGGTACCGGGGGAGGTGGTTTGCAATGGACTGCGTCCGGGCAGGGGTCTGGGGTCTGAGAGGGGCAAGCAGCAGGGCCATGGGGTTGCCAGGAGCAGGACAAGCCCAACAGGGTGACGAGTTTGCCTGGGCTCAGGTGCTGTGATGGGCCTCGCGGGCCCGGCCCCCTCCTGCAGCGCAGGGAGCTGCAGGCGGGTGCGGCGGGTCAGCACGCTGCACACTGCTCCCTGTGCCCACCCTCTCCTGCATCCCGCTGGAGCCGTGGCCAGCACTGCGGGAACGGGGGCAGGAGCAGGGTACCAGGGGGGCCACGCTGCTGCTCAGAGGCTGTGTCTTAGCAAGGCGGGGTTCTCTCCAAGCCCCCCCAGGCTTCAGCATCACCAAGCGCCAGTGCCAAGCAGCACAGCAGGGGGGTCTGGGTGCTGATGCGGCCACCATGGTGCCCAGGGCTTGGTCACAGGCCCAGCAGGCACTGGGCAGGCTCCGGGCTCCCCGCCTGCTCCCTGCAGCAGTGCGGTCCTGTGGGGTGGCTGGGGTTTCGAGGACGCTGCTCGGTGCTGCGAGAGGCAGCAGCAGCGCGAGGGTTAACTGTGCTCCCCTCGCATGGCCAGCCCGGGGCGGCGAGCCCGGCTCACCGCGCTTGTGCCCGCCCGGGGGATCCGCGACAGCGGCTGCCTCAGCCAGCCGTGCCCCTGGGACACAGCAGACCTATAAAACGGAGCTGCACGAGTCGTGGGGAAGCGCTGGGAAATGGTCGCAGCAGCTCCATGCCTGGCGAGGCCCCGCCATTGTGCCCAGCCCAGCTGCAACGTGGGCCAGGAGCCACGCGGCTCTTCCCGCCGGAGCCGCAGCATCCATAGACACGCTCGCCGCACCCTCCAGGCCTCCGTGACAGCAGCTGCCGTGCAGAAATGGGTGACAGGGAAGTGACGCCTGCGCAGACCCGCTGGCCCCTTCTGCGTGTTGGCAACTTTTGCTGGTGGCTCTGCCAGCACCAGCCCCGCTGCCTCTGAGATGTCCCTTGATGTCCATGCACAGCTTGTCCTTGCAAGGGGTGCACGCAGCCATGGGGTCCCCTTTGCGTGGGGTGCCTGCACCCACCGGGTCTCCTTGCACAGGGTGGATGCACCCACAGGGTCTCCTCACAGCACAGCCCCTCAGGCTGGTTGTTCGCCACTGAGGGGGCTGGGGACAGCCCAGTTCGCTCATCCAGGTCTTGGCTTCGCTGAGGGGCTGCCGAGGTCCCTCCATTCCCACTGGGGACTGCAGCGGCAGCAGCGCCCGGAGCTGCCTGCTTTTTGCCCGGCCAAAAAGCGCGCGGCCTGGATTCCTGCGGCTCCCGCTGCTCCCGGGCGGCTGTGGTCTGGCGTGGCCGTCCCAATTGTTCCCCCGTGCAGGACAAAGTGAAGCCTGGGGATGTGGCAAGGCTTGGCAGGGAGGATGAGCTCCGAGGGCTTCCCTGCCCCTCCTGCAGGGAGGCACAAGCGGAGGCCACACTCCCCTTGTGCGACCGGGGTGACTGCAGGGAGTTTCGGGGGAGAAAGGTGGTGCAGGATGCTCCTGTCCCCTGCCAGGCTGCAGGCTCGCTCTTGGGGAGCTGATGTCCACATGTGGTGTAGAAGGGTGACGCTGGCTGTCTGGGGCAGCGTGAACATCTCCAGAACCCGCTTAGCCCACGTCCCTGTACCCCATGTGCAGGCAAATGCAGCGCCCGGATTTGAGGGGCCTGCCGGCGCTCTGGGCAACCTGGCAGCTGATCTGGGTGCTCGAGGTGCGTGGATGCTCGAGGTGCGTGGATGCTCCTGCATCCCGGCTGCATCGATGCTCGTGCACCGGCTCCCTCGGGGCAGAGCCGTGCCCCAGGACGGGCTCGCAGGGTCTCTGCACCAGCACGGAGCAGAGGCCATGGTGCAGCCTCGGTGCAGGATGGCAGCAGTCGCGGCAGTGACGCTTTCCTGTCTCCGCCAGGCGGGTTCCAGCCAGGCCATGGTCTGACCTGTGACCCACGGCGTGTGTGCAGCTGCTGGCCGGTCTGGGGCTCCCTGCCTGTGTTGGAAAAGGGGGACGTGGCGGGGACAGACACTGCGTGTCCCAAGGGGGAGCAGCCTCCGTGGTGTTGGGAGCACACGGGAGCACAATCCCGGCTCCAGGGCCGCTACCCGCCTGGCGGGCAGCGGTTGTCCCAGCGCCCTTGTGCTCTGTTTGATGGCTGCTGCGCATGGAAGGGGGATGCGGGGGGGCCACGCTGGTGCTGCTGCTTCCTGCCGCCCTCCGGCTGCCGCTGCCGATAACCGTCACCGCGCGGGGCCGGCGGG